GCCTTGCACATACTAGGCAGTGCTCTATCATTGAGCTATACCCTCAGCAAGCAAAGCAAACATTTTATAACTGAGTATTTTTTACATATGATTTGCCACCCCAATGTATCAATTATTTTCAATTTTTTCAAATGCCCTTCCAGACCCGAACAATATACATGTATATTTTAAAATGTTGTGATAGCATTAAGTATTTAATTTTCCAATAGCTTTTCTACTTAAAATAATAGAAATAACACTTTATCACATTTCTACAAATCTCTCACTTAATGACATATAATATTATATCCAATAGGCATAAAAAGAATTTAACTGTGATTTATTTATTTATTTGTTTGTTTTGGTACTGGGGATTGAACCTGGGTTCCTCTATCACTGAGTTATATCACTGACTCTTTTTATTTTTTTAAATTTTAAAAATTTGTTTTAATTAGTTATACATGACAGTAGAATGCATTTATGCACTTTGATATATCATACATAGATGGGATATAATTTCTCATCTTTGAGACAGGGCCTTGCTAAATTGCCTGGGCTGGCCTCATGGTCCCCTTGCCTCAGCCTCCTACATATCTGGGATTACAGGCAGTGCCAACAAGTTTTAGTTTATTTTAGAATTTTAGGAACTTTAATCATTATATTATGATTGGCACCATTTGAAATATAGGAAAAAATGTCACATTAAAAACCTTTAGAGAGTAATTTAAATAGCATAGATAGATGAAATAATACATATTCTTCAATCATACTCTGGTATTTTATTGGAATACAGCTAACACAGAATTGAATTTGTATCTGACTATTTTGTTTATTTACCTAAATATCAGATTTACCCATTTGTGTTTGCACTGTGAACCCGTCACTTCTGGAATAAAACCTCAGGAGATGCATTCCACACAAATATAGTGCACTGCAGAGAAGCAGCAGGGTGTAGTGAAAAGCACGTAGGGTTGGAACCAAACAGACTTGGACTGCTGTGCTTTGAAATATTATGTTCATCAAAAAGATTTGTACAAGAATGCTCATAAGCAGCTTTATTTATAATAGCTGAGGTAGAACAGTCCAGGCACCCATCAGTAGGAGAAGGGCTTAACTTTGGTATATTCACCTATGGAATATCATTTAGCAATAGACAGAATGAGGTACCAGTATACACAAAAACATGATGAATCTGAAATCATGCTCCGTGAAAGAAGTTTTACCCAAGAGTAATTACTCAACAGTTCTATTGCACGAAGATTTAAAACAGGGAAAGGCAATTTACGTAGAAAACAATTAGAACATTTGGTCACTTCTAGAGGTTGGTAAAATTGACACAGGAGACATGAAGAACTTTCTGGGATAACAGTCAAGTTCTGTCATGTAAGAGGGGTTTGGATGGTACATGTATGTGTGCTTTCTGAACACATCTAATGGTAAACTGAGGATTTGTGCTCTGCATTTTAGGTAATACTTGCCCCCTCCAAAGCACATAAATCTAAACAAATATTGATCTCTAGTTAATGCTAAGTATTCCAGTTTGCTTTAAAATACATAAAAACTAATATAGATCAATGGATAAATGGAATAGTCAGTAGGTGGGTAGATGGGCAAGCACAGTAAAATGTTATAGCAGCTAGGTTTTTCTCTGTGACTAAAAATTTTCATAATAAAACATTAGAAAATGTCTTTTGATCTTGGATCTGTTTCATAAGCTTCTTAGTTCTGATTTCTGCAAAAGGAGGTAATAGTATTTACTTCATAAAGCAAAGCACTTAGTTCACTGCTTTGTTAATTTTAAGTCATGATGAGTGTTTTGGGATTCGATAGCATTGCCTATGAGCAGTGGCTAAAATGGTATGTAGCTAAATTTTGGGGGTTATGAGCAATGAGCTGTCTGCTGATGGCTGATTATATGTTCCTTGAGTGGAGAAATAGCTTTTAATGATGGTAGTAGCTCCAACTGCAGTGACTTCTGGTGATGATTTGTGCTTTAAAGAGGTGGACAGAAAGGAGAGAGGACAGACGAAGTATCATTAGCAATCATCACATGAGTTTTGATACTAAAAATCTAAAGAGTTATTTGTTCATTAAAAGTTCCTTTTGTGAGCAATCATTTATTTAAAAAAACCCTGATATTGTCCTAGAAACTGGGGATACAGAAACAGATGAATACACACACACACACACACACACAGAGGTGTCTGTCCTCTTGGAGCTCACTTTCTAGTAATGATAAAGTTCACTACTGGATCAGTCTGTCAGCTGAAGGGGTAGAAATGTGAGATATTTCTCCTTCCCTATCATAAGGGTCATGGCTGGCATGACTATAACAAAAGTCAGATTAACAAGAGAAAAGCATAATAAATTTAATCAAACTTTTGCGTGACATATAAGACTTCAGAAATAAGACCCAAAGACCCAGGTAAAATTGTCCATTTTTATGTTTAGGTTTGGTGAAGAATGGACATGCCTATAAAATATGAATGGACAAAAGAATATGATCTCATCATAATAAAATGAGTGGGGAATCACAGCATAGACTGTCCAGATTCTTCTTGGCCTCTCCATATAGTATTCCTCCCTACTGATTGTGGGGCAGGACCCTCTTCAAGGAAGAAGGGACAGAGTGTAACCTTTTTAGAATTTACAGCTTGCTTTGGAAAAAAGCAATTCTAGTTTCTATCACCACCTTGAGGAACAGGAATTCTGATTTCTATCACTTGCTTTATGGGAGGATGAGGGGGGTGGGAGGTAGGAGGGCAGAAGAAGGTCAAAGAAACATTGCTTCTGATGCCTTTCCTTTTGAACTTTCTGTTCAAAGTACCCAGCATGCCATGGGACTAAGCTTTGGAGTATTCTTATATGAATCCTAACAGAGCCAGGAATATTTACCAATACTTTTTTTTCTGTACAAGGCACTTGGGATGCTACAGTAAACCACATGGGCCTGGTCCATCGTTCTTGGAGTTTTTGATCTAGCAAGGAATATAGATGCAATCAAATCGCTGTATGTAACCATAATAAGTTAGAAGTATGAAAATTTCTGGGAAGGAGTATAGGGTCTTGAAGGGATTTAGAGAAAATGTCCCTCTTTTGTTTGGATGAAAGAAATGTCCCCCCTCTAAACTTTTCTCTGAGTTAAGAGAATGAAATATGCTTGAGATAGCCAGTGGCCCTTGTCGGGCCAACAATAATAGAAAAGGAAGAGAATTAGGTGTACCTATGGACAATATGGTCAGTCACATTTCGTTATTTCTCTTAACTTCTGATTGATTTATACCCATGGAGAACCTGTATAGTTCAGCTACAGAAAGCAAAAGGAGAATTGTTGAATTCCCCCTAAGCATGATTTGGTAATCTGGAATCAGGTTTATCTTGTGCCTACTCAATTGTTATAGCAAACAGTCCAACACTTCCACCTTGCCAACAAATTGCTAAAGACACGGGTCCTGAGGGTCATGAAACAAAGCAATTATATGACTCACCCACAGCAAGAACATTGTCTCCCCATACCAATACTAAGTTCACTGGTTCCAAGCAGAGAGAAGATAGAACTCAAGAGAAGATGGAGAACTGATAAAAAGTACGTGTGTCTCACAGACTAAAAACTCCTGCTCCTACCATCATCACACATCCTGGGAACAAATTAGAGCACTTGTCTAAGCATTGTTGTTGTTGATGTTGTTGTTAAGTGGGGACAAGCTGATGTGTGGGATTTGTACTTCTACCCTGTTAATCAGAACAGGCCTGGGCCACACTAGAAGGACTTCAGTTTTTCTGCATTATCAGCAGATGTGTCTGATTCCCTAAAGGATAAGAAAAGTACAGAAATATCTAGTGATGAAAAAGAATTTTTTAAAATGGTGTTAATGAAGAGCTTGGTGGTGATCTAGTAAAAACGTGGAAAGGAAGCAAAGACAGTCATCTTTTGCCTACACAAGCATGGATTGGTTCCCTGTGCAGAGGAGTGACTAGGACTATTGATCACACTTCAGGGCATCTTCTTAAGGTCAAGAAGAGGCAAGTTACTTAGCCTCCGTTTTCTCTTCAGTAATAGTAGCACATGCCTCATAAGTTTTTATTTTTTTCAGAAGAATCATTTGAATGAACTTAGCATTATTTCTGGCACATATGTATTAGGTATATTTTAGTTTTCATTCAGAATGATTTTCTAAAAATAATCCTAGGTTCCTCTATAAAATTTTCAATAAATATGATTTGCTAAATGTATACCAAAGGTAAAAAAAAATCACAGCTCTGAAAGACTATATATATTTGCATGAATAAGAAAAATAAACCTCCCTTCACACACTCTGATTTGTTTCAGATTATATGACCATCACACCCACACAGTGGATTTTTTCCACCAGCCAGCCTTCCCCAACTAGGAGTATCCTCCTACCCAAGCAATCAAACAACCTGACAGAAGATTCAGGATTAGTGCCTCTCTTAAAGACAGTTACACGTTAAAAAGCTACTTTGTTATAATCTCAGGATATAATAAGTCTAAAGAATATATGTATTCTGAATTGGTAGCAAGCCTTGATTTGTTGGACAGGCCTTGGAGAGAGGTAAATAAGGCATTTACCTAGACCCAATTTAGGCTGAAATATTAAAGACGTTTTATGCTTTGTTTAAGTTGGTAAGTGTTATGATTCCTGTAACAACAGACTTGCTGAAAACTTGACACACTTTTCCTTCTGGTGTGTCTTTGCATAAACTGTTCCTCTTCTGCAAGATTAACTGATAAAATCTGAGTTATTCTGTCCCCACTCTCAGCTTGCATTTAAATCTGTTTCTTTTCTCTGGCTCTTTTCAAAGGTGCAGGCATACAAGAGCTAGCCCTAGCTAATGGCCAAACACTGTGTCTGAGTCCAGTCCCAGAGTCTTTTAACCTCTTGCTTCCAAGTCCGCATCTAAAGGCAAAAACAACCCTGGAGACGGGGCCCTCCCCCTGGCTGTGATAGGCTGCTTGGAATAGCAACAGCCTGTGTCACCGAAAAGGGCAAAGCCTTCGGAAATAGAAACAAAGTTGGTCACAAATCACATTGGCTTTGCCCGAAGTTTTTTTTTTTTTTTCCCCTCACTCTTCTTTAGCATGCTACCATGGGACAAGTGACCACTCCTGTCCGCGGGGGAGGTCGGGGTAGTCTGCTGGCGAGGGAGAGGCTGTAACTCTACGTGACCATGGTACCTGTTGAAAACACAGAGGGCCCCAATCTGCTGAACCAGAAGGGGAGAGAGGCGGAGACCGATGGCAGCTACGGAGCCAGCGGCGGCCGGCATCCTGCCTGTTCGGGAGGTAAAGTGAGAAGGCTGGGCTCGCGTGACAGACCAGCGGGGCGAGCTGTCCGTTTGTGTGCGTGTAGGTGCGCGCGCGTGTGTATGTGTGCGGTGTGTGCGCGTGCGTGAGCGCGCTGGATGCGTGGACGACGGGGAGAGTATCTGGTGGGACGCGGAATGACCTAGAGCTGTAAAGCGAGGATGGAAGTCTGGTTAGGACTTTTTTTTTTTTTTTGGTAAAAATTAAAAAAAAAAAAAAAATGAGCTACATACCCACTGCTGGTATGATGGGTTCCATCAACTGTGTTTACACAACACAATGTATAAATCTTTTTCATTTTGAAAAGTTTGGTCAACAACTTCGCTTGTAAACACACATACATTTTTTTCATTTATTGTTGCAAAAGGACAATACATAAACAAGAGAGCATTATAAGCACCCTTTTAAGAAATCAATTTTTTAAAGTGGGGTTCATAAAAATTATTAGTTATGTAATCAATGAACACAACTTTCTTTTAAAATTCCTTGCATATTTGTTCTGAACTTATTAACCCGAGCCTGAACCCCCTACTTAGCGTGATCCTTCTTTCTTTAAAACTAGTCTTTCAAACTGAAGTTTGTGGAATACTTTTTCCTTAGGGAGGTGAAATTTCGAAAAGTTTTAATTCACTTCAATGGTCTTTGCTAACCCAAATGCTTTTCTTTAGTTCCACCTTGAGGATTTCCACAAATACACTGCACACTTCTGACCACCTCTTCCTATTCATTTAGTTTGCAAAGGAATAGAGACTGATTGTACTATAAAATAAAATCATTGACAAGTAATTCTTTCCTTCCTACTGCTCTCTTCAGCCCTGCTCTTTCTATCCATGTGTAATAGTCCCAGTTACCTATGGAAATGTCATCAGTAACCTAAAATGCTAAATGATACAAGGCCTGTCACCCTGGAATAAGCCTACATTCGCTTTTGATGTTATGGGTTTGCCTGGCTTTGTTATAGAGTCCACATACCCTCCCACCAAGGTGAAGTGGCGCCTCCTCAGGAATGAAGAAACTGTCATTCTTCCTTGTCTTGTTCCATGCTCAGCTTCCCCTTGCTTTCCCACTTTTACTCAAGCTAGCAGGGAGAGCTGGGGCCATTTTTCAAAATGGCCTCACCCTCTCTAAAACAAAGCTGTCCCTTCCCTAAGGCTTTGCTAGCTGATTCAAAGTTCCTAAGAGCAGGCAAGAAAAAATCTGTGCTAGGATGATGGGGGTAAAGAGAAAGAGTTAACAGTTCTTTTCTCTAAATCCCTGAGAAACTGAGCTTCAGTGTAGACAGCAGAGGAAGCCCAGGTGATGGTGACAGCCAAGTGGGGTCAGTGTTAAGATCACAAAAATGAAAAGAAATTCTGTCCAGGAGGGGCTTTTATAGTTTCCATGAAAAATTGATTACCTAATTTTGATATGATTTTGAAAGCATGGTAGACCTTAACAGCTGATGTTGTACAAGTTTGAAATTATCCCCCAGAAAGGCGATGGGTATTTATGCTTGTAAAAATTGACTCCATGCTCATAATTTAACCTCAAGTGCAACTGTAGACAAGTGATAAATGAATGCTGTAAATTAGTGTTCAAGTTTAATTTTAAATGAACCTCGGTTATCTAGAAGAGAAGCCAAAATGTTTCCCTAAAGTCTCAGATGAATACAGATTTGATCTATGTTATATGTAGTTTAGATTGAGATGGATACAGAATCTTTTATTATTACTTTTGTAAATTTTCCTAACTTGTCTTAAACATCTCTTGGCACTCATAAGAAATTATACACATCTATGTGTTAATGAATGAATGTGCATTCTTGCTGTACGATTTTGACAAGTCATTTAGCATCTCCATTCCTTAATATTGGTCTTTTATGAAGATGTTGAGGTTGGATGAAATAATATTTGTCAAATACTCGTCTTAGCTTCTTTGCAGGTTAATTTTCCATAATTTCTTTCATCCAGGGAATTCAGAGGATTTAAAAAATGCTCAGTTCATGAAAACCAAAGGGAGATGAGTCAAATAGAGACTGTTGCTCAGTCCTTTTGGGAACAGAGAAAAGGAGGAGAGGAGGGAAAGAGGTAACACTGGGGAATGATGATATTGGCCAAATTATATTGTTCTATTGTGTGCATGTACAAATATGTAACAATGAATCCCATCACTATATACAACTATAATACACCAATAAAAAATAAAATATGCTCAGTAATTATCGTCATATTTCTGTATTTGAAGATAGCAACTTTTCTATATTCCTAGATGGAAAAAATCAGTCACAAAGAGGGATGAATTATATAACCGAGGACGAGGTGATTAAATCATGTGAGATACTGAAAAACAAAACAAAATGAAAATCCTAAGCTCCACAATCAAGTCTGCCTTAATACGATTACACATAATGAAACATTTTGGCAGGTCTTCCGTGGCCAACTCTCTTAATTGGAAAGAATGCTTTGTTCCAACGACTAGAAGTTAATGAACTTAATTCATTTTCAAGAAGCTCTGACTCAAAGTGGTACATTGTTAGCACAATTTTCAGTGTTCATGGACCTATTCTAATTGATCTTCTAGGACAGTGCCAAGTTCAATTTGAAATCCTGGTACCCAGAGTGGACAACAGATGCAGAGAAAGTGAGAAACTACACACCAGAGAATCTCACATCCAAGGAACATGGGGCCAAATGATGGGCCATTGACCCAAGTTCACGCAGAGGTTGATGTGGAACTGACCTGGTGACCCCTGGCCCAGGAGCTTTGATGTCTCCTAGGAAGAGAGAGTTCCCTTAATCTCCTTTTGCCCTTATTAACAGTGCCTTTTCCTCTTCTATTTGTCCCCAAAGTCAAAAACCAAGAGCAATATTTGTTGTATGAGTGCAAGTCCTTAGCACTTCAGAGAATACCCTGGAACCTAGAATACCCAAACTGGGCTCCTGGACCCACCTGAAAACTGCTCTTTTTCTCTCAGAAGATGCCTCAGTCAGGAACTTAAAAAATAACAGAAGGAAACTCTTCAGCAGTTGTTCTCAAACACCCTGTGAATTCCTGTTGGAAGCTGAGGGATGATCAGTATGTTAGATATCATCGTAGATTGGCTCCTACGGAGGGATGTTATCTTAGGTTTAGCTTAAACTGGGCCTCCTAAATTCAGTCCAGCCCAGAGGAAGTCTTCTTGTCAGAGAGATGGAGGAGACTTCTGGGAACAAACTCATCCCCAGGGAAGAGAAAGTCAGTCCAACCAGCTTGCCTGACAATAGAGCTTTGGTTGTGGGAAGCAGGATTCTAACAACAGGTCAGTTAACTTGGGCAGAGCCAGCCTGGAGCCAGGGCCTCTCAGAGTTTGTGAGAAGTTAGGTCATCCCCATTTTCCCAGGCTTTCTATATATTAAAAACGCAAGTGCCAAAACCTGTGAAAAAATTGTTAATTCTTTAAAAATGTGCAATGAACAAATGGGAGACTGATAATAATAGCAACAAATTGTTGTGTGTATCATGATATTCCCAAGAAAATGACAGGATTTATAGACATGTCAAGTTATGAAGAACTAGAGCTTCTTGTGTCTGGTAATGAGATCAGATTTAAAGATAAACATCTCCCTCTTTAGTCCAGTCAGCACCTCTCTAAGACTGTATATTTAAACTTGGAAATCACATCAAAAGTCTAAATTTGAGACTTTGCATGACGAGGAGCCTTGAGCAAATGACCCCCCTGGGGCCTCCTAGAAAGGGAGAAGGCTCTAAACAAACATGGTGGGATTTGTTTCACCGCAAACTCCCGGTGGTTTTTGGCACACGCAGCAGGAGCAATGCTCTTGTTGCTCTCTAAGGACACGTCACCCAGAGAGGCAGAGAGGTTGTCTCTTGCCACAGACCCCTCCTAACGACAGCAGCAGGAGGCAAACAGGCCTTGGCAGGGCCTGACAAACATGGATATGGCCAGCCCAGGAACAGCCAGCCAAGCCCTGGGGCCCACCTGCACAGGCTGAGCTTTAGCCGGCACACGCCAGCATGCCTGAACTGGTTCTTGCAGCCAGTGTCCATTCTGATGGCTAGAAACCTCTGTCTAAGTGGCTGAATATTTTCAACACCACTTGCTCTCTACGAGGTGGGCAGCAGTAGTATAGGCAGCAGAGGTCCCAGGAATGGAGTAGCTGCTAGGACCCTGAGGTGGGCCCACTAGTAGAATCCCTATGCATTCTCAAAGAGGTAATTTTTGGTGTTCTATCTGACACCAGCTGATAGAAACAAAGCTCATAATAGAGTGAATACACTGTGGGACAGCCTGAGGAAACAAATGTAATGTGTATATATAAAAGATGAAATCGGCCAATTTTAAAATATAGCTTTCACTTGCTGTAGATATGTGGGATTTTTTTCATTCAAGAATAGCTAGTCTTCGAGCCATAATTTTATAGGTAGCATTTTCTCAATAGAAAGAACCCAAGTACTATTTAGCCTCAAAGTTAAAAGAAAGTTCTGAGAGCACCAAAGGGACCCTCCACTAGTATGCAGCTAGCTCTGGCTGCTAAGAGTCCCCGCAGCTATTTACTCAGAGTGTATGAGCAAGAACTGGTTTTATGTGACATTTAAGTTAAGCCAAGTTGAAGCTTTCTAGTTCATTTTTTTCCCCTCATAAACAATCTCTGCCAGAAGAGTGCATTATTGAATAATTTAAACGATGCTCTGGAATGATGGTGAGAAAGAAGAAGTTGGATGACTCCTTCCCAAGGGACTATTTGACCATACCACACAGGACAATTTCTCATCCTATCTTTCCTCAACAAAAGAACCTAATTTCAGTTAAAATCATAGAAATGGAAACTTCTCAAAATACTTCCCAGTTGAAATGAAGTCAAATAACCTTCATAATAAATCATAGATTTATATGGGTAATTTCTGTTTTCTTATTGGCACTATTTTCTTTTTCCACTTATAGCACAATCATTTATGTATTGCTAAATGGCTATGCATCAGCAATATACTAATTATTCTAT